GGGGGAGGGGGAGTGTGAGGGGCCCCAGGCTTCACAGGGTGGACCCCACCCCCAATGTGCTTTCTGGCCCACCTCACCAACTCTGGCCTGGGAGTTGGGAAGCTGGGGCTCCAGAAGTCCCAGCCCCCCTGGCTGGAGGGCCCTGGGCAGGTTCCTGAAATGCTGGGGTCTCTCCAGGGAAGACACTGGAGCACCGAGGAACCGCCCCAACAGAGGAAATGAGCTTGAGACCGCGAGGGGTAGATCCTGCCCCGGGTAACCGACTGGTGGCGGGGCCCAGTTCTCGACGACGCTGGGTCAGTTTCCAGGAGGGACGAAAGCATCCCCTCTCCTCCCTCCGAGCCCTCCAGCCACGCCCCCTCCTTCAGTGACCACACCCCTCAGAGCCTGCAAGGAGGGCCTGCTGGAGGCCCCGCCTCTCTCTTCTTTAGGGTCAACCCCGGTTCGTTCCCTGGCCGGCAGGCCCTGCCCACTTGCCCCTGGACAGTCCAGGGAGCGCTGAGGCTGCTGTTTGCGGCCAACACTGCCTCTCACTGGGCAAAGTCCCAGGCACACAAGGCACTTGGATGTGATTCAGGGGGCCAAGCCGGGCCCCTCCGGGCTCTTGCTATCTGGAGACTGGACCAGGGGCAGCCCCAAGCCGCGTGGGCTCGAGGGCCTGCATCCTGGGCACCAGCCTTCTCATCCCGCAGAGCCAATGTGGTCAGCATGGCTTCCAGGACAGCCCCGCCCCGGTCCCGCGTCCATGCCACTTAGGAGTTGTGAGCCGTGAGCCGTGAGCCGTGGCTTGCTGGGCCCGGTCAGGGGAGGGAGGTGAGGGCATGGGCTTGAGTCAGCCTGATGTGTTCTCAGTCCCACTGGCCTCCACTGGCTCCCGTCTGGGCCCCCGTGTCCCTGTCCGGAACACGGGGATAGGTCCTGCCTCGCAGGCGGTGGTGAGGGTGGCGGAAAATGTGGACGTTAAGGGTGGGCCTCAGAGTCCTGACCGCACCTGGGCAGGAGCACAGCCACGGGGGAGCCCTGGCCAAGGCCCTGAACCATCGTGCGGGGTGAGGCGGCCGCCCCGGCGAAGGCCTGCGGCGCATGTGCTGGCTGCCATCCCGGCTCCTTCTGCGCAGCACCTAGCTCCGTACCCACCCCACGCCCCCAGTCCGGCCCACCCCAGGGATGCGCAGGTGCCAGGAGGGCTCCCGGAGCCGGGAACAGCGTGGGGCCAGCTAGGCGCTGCTGCCCTTCCGGCCTTGGACCGACCTGGGGGGTGAATGACACGTTCCCTAGCTGTGTGTGACCTCATGCCACCCCGTGACCTCTGTGGACCTCACTGTCCTTATCTGTTAATGGCCACCAGAGAGTGTGGTCACTGGACCTCGAGATGACCCACAGCCCTTGGCACAGAGCCTGGCATGTCTCAACCGTCATCCCATTGCTCACTGTGACGCTGAGACCCGACAAGGAGGGCTCCAGGCACGCGGCAAGCCATGCCCCAAGCCATGCCCCTGGGCTCAGTGCCCGCATTCTAGGACAGAGGTGGGATGAAACGCATGCTGACCCCTGACCTG